AGAAAAATATACGGAAAAAACAAGCAAAAATCCTAATATGCAATTATGCTGTTTTAATGTCAATACAATGTCAACGTCGGACGTTTCGGTCTAATAGACCATCTTCAGGACATATTCATAAAACATAATTAATATTAGACTATATTTAATTCAACATGAAAAAGACTATGGACATAAAAGCAAGACCAATCCAAACAGATAACTGTGTTCCGTTTAAATATGATCACGTCGTCGTCACGTAGATCGAAACGTCAGACGTTGACATTATATTAACATTAAAACAGCATAATTGCATATTAGGATTTTTTTTCCGTATATTTTCTTCATATATATATATATATATATATATATATATATATATATATATATATATATATATATAGATAGATAGATAGATAGATAGATAGATAGATACACCTAGTGAGCCAGACAAACCTACCTAGGTTTCACCTAAACGGATCGTCAGGAAAGTTTGGCTAACGAGGCAAAAGAGAAACACACATATTTATAGGAAGCAGCATATATGTGTATATATATATATATATATATATATATATATATATATATATATATATATATATATATATATATATATGTGTGTGTGTGTAGTGAAAGATAGAAATATATAGATATATATATATATGTAGTGAAAGATAGAAAACAAAAACGAAACAGTTTAAAATAAAAAAGTAACAGTTAAAGACGCTCCTACGAGAAATGGGACATCTGCTAGTATTTAATAAAATTTTCACAACATTAAATACGTAATGTGTTGATTAGAGACGCAAAAGCAAAATTCTAGCAAACCCTAGACAAATGTAATAAAAGAAAGCGAAAGAAAAACCATAAATTATAAAAATTCATAACGTTTGGTCGTTAGCAAAAGGAAAGATCCACAATGTAAGCTAGACAGAATAATCCATAAAGTGCATAAATCTAAGTATTTTAATAGATGAAGGCAAATTGGACACAAAAATCCGAAGTATAACTGGAAGAGCTAAAGACGCCTTCCAGAGCACTAAACAAATAGATGAAGGCAAATTGGACACAAAAATCCGAAGTAGAACTGGAAGAGCTAAAGACGCCTTCCAGAGCACTAAACAAATAGATGAAGGCAAATTGGACACAAAAAATCGAAGTAGAACTGGAAGAGCTAAAGACGCCTTCCAGAGCACTAAACAAATAGATGAAGGCAAATTGGACACAAAAATCCGAAGTATAACTGGAAGAGCTAAAGACGCCTTCCAGAGCACTAAACAAATAGATGAAGGCAAATTGGACACAAAAATCCGAAGTAGAACTGGAAGAGCTAAAGACGCCTTCCAGAGCACTAAACAAATAGATGAAGGCAAATTGGACACAAAAATCCGAAGTATAACTGGAAGAGCTAAAGACGCCTTCCAGAGCACTAAACAAATAGGTGAAGGCAAATTGGACACAAAAATCCGAAGTATAACTGGAAGAGATAAAGACGCCTTCCAGAGCACTAAACAAATAGATGAAGGCAAATTGGACACAAAAATCCGAATTATAACTGGAAGAGCTAAAGACGCCTTCCAGAGCACTAAACAAATTGATGAAGGCAAATTGGACACAAAAATCCGAAGTATAACTGGAAGAGCTAAAGACGCCTTCCAGAGCACTAAACAAATAGATGAAGGCAAATTGGACACAAAAATCCGAAGTAGAACTGGAAGAGCTAAAGACGCCTTCCAGAGCACTAAACAAATAGATGAAGGCAAATTGGACACAAAAATCCGAAGTAGAACTGGAAGAGCTAAAGACGCCTTCCAGAGCACTAAACAAAATAGTAATAAACACAGGGGAAATTTTATTACAAAGAGAGAAACGAATACTAAACAGATATGTAATATAATTCCTACAAGAATGCATTATAGGCGGCAATAACTATGACAACTTAAAATATGCTGATGATACAGTTTTGATAGACGACACAAGCTGCAGGAATGCTGAGGGAAGGTGGTAAAGGAAAGGGTGAAGGAAGGACAAAGCATTAACTGCAAAAATCGGAATGTATGGTTGTCAGCATATTTCTGTTAACGCAAGTATTTAATAAGTTTTAATAACAAAAACAAAAAGTAACTAAATGAAATCGCCCAGACAATATACCCCAAAATATAAAATAAAACTAATAATTTAATAACTGTCTATATTTCTGAGATAAGGTATTATGTACACTATTTACATTATTCAGACTATTGTCCTCATCTTTGTTGCTATATTTATCACAACGTTTCGGCCGTTGTACGCTCCGGCCTTCTTCTGTAATTGCCTATATTTAGGAGATGATGTATTATGTACACTATTTACATTATTCGGACTATTTTCCTCATCTTTGTCGCCATATTTATTACAACGTTTCGGCCGTTGTACGGTCCGGCCTTCTTCAGGTGTCTGTCTATTTTTCTGAGATAAGGAATTATGTACTCTATTTACATTTTTCAGACTGTTGTCCTCATCTATGTTGCCATATTTATCAGTGTTTCGGCCATTGTACGCTCCAGCCTTCTTCAGTATTTGTCTATATTTCTGAGATGATGCATTATATACATTATTTACATTATTCGGACTATTGTCCTCATCTTTTTCGCCATATTTATTACAATGTTTCGGCCGTTGTACGCTCCGGCCTTGTTCAGTATTTGTCTATATTTCTGAGATGATGTATTATATACACTATTTATATTATTCGGATTATCGTCCTCATCTTTGTTGCCATATTTATCACATTTCGGCCGTTGTACGCTCCGTACTTCTTCAGGTGGCCGGAATGTCGAACTGAGCCCTTTCTTTCGCTCACTGGGGTAGGCTCTTCTAGTTCCACGTGCCATGTTTTAATCGATATCACTTATCAGTTATCTCCTGTTAATTCCCCTCTCCAAGTTCTCCCCTGTCTTAACCAGGTATTGAACCTGACGGACACATGGTACAGTGGATGAAGGCGTTGGTTAGATCCAGTGACAGGACCCAAAGTATTGCAAGTTGTATTTGTCCGTAACGTACTCGACCGGAATTTGAACTCGTCTCCCCGATTTCTATTTGTGAATCTATAACCGTTACACTACCCATATATCAAAATAAAAACAAAGACATCATTAATGCTTTTATTTTTTTTTTTTTTTCAGATTTGTTCGGAATATCTGTAAACAGTGAACGGCAAGGTGAAAACTAGTAATTACAATCTTAGAAGACTCAAAGTTAACTATCATGGGCGAGGGGAAACCACTTGAATACTAGAAAAGGGTAAACTGTATCATAATGATTCGTTCCGTGCATCAAAATGCCGCTATTATGATAACTGCTCAATGCAATTTGAAGATCGTGAAAATAATAAGACGTGAAATGTAGAGCTGCAATGGAGACTACGAGGCCGAGGCTTGTAGGAAAGAACAGAGAAGATGTTCTGATTGCTTCCGTACATTAGAATTCATCCAAGCAGGAAAAAGCGAAGAAAGACAGAGTCAAGTTTTTCGCGCGGAAAATAGGTGTTGCAATTTCTATCATGAAACTGGCCTTGAATAAGGACTTCCGCTTCCTGTCATACAAAAAGTGTACAGGTCAATTCCTTACAAAATAGACTCGAGTAAACCATTATAAACAAAAGCAAAGAATCTTCTGAACTAAGGGGAACGTTATCTGATGAAAAAAAAATGAAATTACAAAAACTCCTGCAGAAACTAGTGAAAAACGTGAGAAGTAAGGTTTAAGTATACAAACTGCTCGGGCTAAAGTTGACAGAGTCAAATGTTTTTATTTATTTCAGATATGTTTGGAACATCATTAAACAGTGAACAGCATTTTGAAACCTAGTCACTACAGTTTTAGAGGTGCCAAACTAAACTGACATGGACGAGTTTATAGTCACTAGAATATTGAAAAATGGTAACCTGCATCATCATGATTCGTGGCCGGCATCAAAGTGCCACAATCATTACATTATTCGGACTATTGTCCTCATCTTTTTCGCCATATTTATTACAATGTTTCGGCCGTTGTACACTCAGGCCTTCTTCAGTAGGCCGGAGTGTACATAGGGGTTTCATACTATCAGGTCATCCCATAAGTTCTGTCCGAATTTTAACTTTTTGTTAAAATGAACGAATTTTAAAGAGTATTTTATAATGTCTAATGGAGATGAACATTATTTTTATGTTTAGATGCATTTAAACTGATCAAATTTTATTTCAAAGAACAATAAAATTAAATTTTGTTTGATTAAAACCCTGCTAACATGGAAGTACCCAATAATCATTTGAGGCACATAATGCATTATGAGTTCCAGAAAGGAAACTCAGCAGCCGAAGCGGCTAGAAACATTCACTCAGTTTATGGAGAGGAATGTGTGAATGAAAGAACTTGCAGAAGATGGTTTGCAAAATTCAGAGGTGGAGATTTCACCCTTGAAGATGAAGATCGAACCGGACGTCCAGTTGAGTTTGATGAAAAGCTTCTTGAAGCAGCCCTTGAAGAAAATCCTGCTTTATCAGTTGAGGAATTGGCAGTGGTTCTCAGTTCAAATCATACAACTGTTCATCGTCATCTTCAACAACTTGGAAAAGTTCCTAAACTTGGAAAATGTGTGCCTCATGAATTGTCTGAAAACAACCTCAAATCTGGAGTTGACATCTGCTCTTCACTCCATTCTCGCCAACTTGTTTCACCTTTTTTGGATGGATTTTTGACTGGAGACGAAAAATGGATCTTTTATCGAAATGTTAAGCGTCGTAAATAGTGGCTTGGTAAAGAGGAAAGAACCCAGCCACAGCTGAGAAGGGAACTGCGTAGGCAAAAGGTTCTTCTTTCAATCTGGTGGGATCGCCAAAGAATAATCCACTTTGAATTCTTACCACCTTAATGCAACAAATTATGCTCAAATATACTGTCAGCAATTAGAGTCTTTGAACCAAGCTTTGAGGAAAAAAAGACCTGCTCTAGTGAATCGAAAAGGGGGTGATGTTTCATCAGGACAATGCGCGACGCACCCAGAAAGAATTACGTCACAAAAGATCGAAGAACTTGGTTGGGAGCAAATTCCTCATCCACCTTATTCTCCCGATCTTGTTCCTTCAGACTATCATTTGTTTCGTAGCTTACAGAATCTTTTGGAAGAAACATCTTTTGTAACACAGGAAGAGGTTAAAACTGACATTTGTGAGTTCTTCGAATCAAAGCCAAAGAATTTTACAGTAAATGAATTAGCAAGCTTGTTAATAGGTGGAAGGAAGTCACAGATAATCAGGGAAAATACATTGTTGATTGAATCTGTCATTAAATGTAACATTTGGTCACTTGTTTTACGTTGAAGTGATTTGACCGGTCGGCGAAAGGCCGAGAGAGAGAGAGAGAGAGAGAGAGAGAAAGAGAGAGAGAGAGTGAAACCATCTAACATTGAACAAAAAAGGGTCGAAAACTATGTGCTTCTGGACGGTTTCATTTACCTGACCTCCCCACTAAGATAAGATGTGAAAGAAGCTCATTTTACACGTGGCCAGCTAATATATGAACCTGTGGACCACAGTCACGAATGCACTGGTATTACACAGTTCTTACCTCTACAAAAGCTAGATCAGGCCGAAAATGGAGTAGTGCTGGCTTATTTGGGTTGGAGTTGATCAATTTTCACTTTTTTGATTTGATAGGATCCAAAAATATATCCATGTCTTTCACCTTACAACACGTTATCTTCCCAATATATCCCCATAATCTTTGCATCTTACTCTGTAACCCTCTAGCTCGAGTGGCTCTTGAGATTTGTACAGGGTGAACATTATTGCAAAGAAAAAAAAATAAAAAGGCCAGAATTAAAGGTGACTTCTATTATTGATCAGTTTGTGATATTTTTGGTTTATCTTATTTAGCTTTTTACTGTTATGTACAGAAGCTGTAAATAACATTGAAAGTAATTTGTACGTCTTCTGCATTGTGTTGAATGATTCAATGAAAAATTGTTTAAAAGTGGAATGAATCTTTGAGGAATGAAAAAAGGAAAAAATACGAAAGAAAAAAATGATTGATAAATTGAAAAAAAGGACAAAGTGAATGTTTAAAAAGAATTTGAAAAAAAAAAGCAATAAAAGAAAAAAACGAATTGAAATATTATAAATATTAACATTAAAAGAAAGAAATAAAGAAGGAAAAAAAGAAAAGAAAGCAAGAAAGAAAGAGTGAAAAATGAAAAAAAATAAAGAAGGAAGGAAAGAAAGAACGAAAGAAAGAAAAAAGAAAGAAAGAAGAATTTAATAAAAGCAATAAAAGAAAGTAAACGGATAGTGTGAGTTAAATACCTGGTTAAGGCAGTGGAGATCTTGGAGAGGCAATTAAGCAGGAGGTAACTGATAACTGGCATCCATTAGACATGGCACGTGGAACTAGAATAGTCTACCCCGGTGAGCGAAATAAAGGGTTCAGTTCGACATTCCAACCACCTGAAGAAGGCCGGAGCTTAAAACGGCCGAAACGATGTAATAAATATGGCGACAAAGATGGGGAACAATAGTCCGAATAATGTAAATAGTGTACAGAAAGAAAAAAATTGAAAGATTATAAATATGAAAATTGAAAGAAAGAAAGAAAGAAAGAAAAAAAGAACGAAAGAAAGAAATGAAAGAAAGAAAGAAAAGAAGACAGAAGAAATGTAAAGAACATAACAGTAGATATTAATTTTCCCCCCTCCAAACTTGTAGATGATTAGAGGAACGAAGAATTTAATAAAAGCAATAAAAGAAAGAAAACAGATAGTGTGAGTTAAATAACTGGTTAAGGCAGTGGAGATCTTTGAGAGGCAATTAAGCAGGAGGTAACTGATAACTGGCATCCAACTGATGTTTCCTCTGATTTAATTTTAATGGCTTATTGGCGAGGTGGGTGGGGTTAGATAAATTTAATGGTCACATTAAATGCCTCGAAACCCAAACTAGTGACATTTCATCATCACTAAGCGGATCTTGAATTTTTACCTATTATAATGAACAGGTGTTCTCTCAGGGAGCAGGCACTGGGACAGACCCAACCCAGACCGCAAGTGAAACTCATACATATGATCCATTGATAAAGATAGAAAAAAATGGCCTGTTCCCTGTACCGCTCCGGTAAATATCTCATTTCTCCCGCTATCTTCTATCTTTTCAAAAGTCAGATCAAGCCGAAAATTGAATTACTGCTGCCCTATTTGTGTTGGAGTTGATCAGTTGTCTCTTTACTATCTTGCAAGAATCTAAAAGTGTATCCACGTCTTTGTCGGTGACAAATTATCTTCCACCTTACAACACCTTATCTTCCTAGCATATAACCATTAGTTTTGCATCTTAGTCTGTAACCCTCTACCTCGAGTGGCTCTGGGGACTTGTGCAGGGTGAACATCATTCTAAAGGAAAAAATGAAGAGGCCAGAGTTAAAAGTGACTTATATCATTGTTCAGTTGATATTGTCTTCCATGTTTGTGATATTTGGGTTTATCTTTTTAACCCTTTAAGCCCTGCGTTCCTGAACAATTTTGACCCTTCTGCGTGAGCTCCTGAGACAAGATTCGCAAATAATTCGTATGTAATGTTTCACGGTAGATATAAAAATAGTTACAAGTGTTTAACCAGCGATCAACCGGTGGCTGGGAATAAAGTCACTTTTCTCTACCACCGTTCAACCGGTGGTTGGGCATTACGTCATTTTTTCTCTACCACCGGTAAAGCGGTGGTCAGGGATCAAACTGCTCACTTTTTATTGTCATGAACAAAGACTGTCAAAAACGTTGAAAGTAATGTGTATGTTTTCTTTATTGTGTAGCATAATTCAATGTAAATGTTCTATCTAAGAGTATACTCCTATCATTTGTGAATATCTATGCTGATGATACAACGGTACGTAGATACACACCAACAGCTCTAGATGATCAGAGATTGGCAGCTGATCCCTCCTTCGACCGAGTTCTAACAGCTCAGTTGAGGGGAAAAACTGGCCAGATTCAATGACTCAAAAACCAAACTAGTGATATTCCATATTCGCCGATCGTAACCCCAAATTATCACCAATCAAGAAGAAATAATGTTCCCTCACGTAAGTCCCGTGCCTTTAAAGCCTATTGTGACTTAAGCACAACATAGCCCTCAAGTAGAACTTGTACATACGATCCATCATTAAAAATGCTGGAGAAATGGTCTATTCCTTGTACCGCTAGAGTAAGTTTTGTTGACCATGTTCCCCATAGTCTATGAAGACAGAATACAGCGAAGTACGTAATCTGTTCAATGAAACAACGTTAAAGATTAATACTCTCGGGTCAGATATTTTACTGAATCTGACTATATCGCCAATACCACCAGCAGCTATTCCGTAATTCTTCAGTCTTCGATATCAAACGCCGGCAGTGACATTTAGCCATCCACCACGAGGGTTACATGTGGCACAAGGCCGGGATTAACGGGGGATCACCGAGCCCGTAGGTTCGGCCAAAAATATTCCCTATTCGAACGCGTATAAACGGGTTCAAGGGCAGTCAACCTCCCCGAACGAGACTCTGCCCTTCAGCGGAGCATCGTCCGGGTTATCAAATGCTGGCAGTGATATTTAGCCACCGCCACGAGGGTTACATGTGGCACAAGGCCGGGATTAACGTGGGATCTCCGAGCCCGTAGGCTCGGCCAAAAATATTCCCTATTCGAACGCGTATAAACGGGTTCAAGGGCAGTCAACCTCCCCGAACGAGACTCTGCCCTTCGGCGGAGCATCGTCCGGGTTATCAAATGCTGGCAGTGATATTTAGCCACAGCCACGAGGGTTACATGTGGCACAAGGCCGGGATTAACGTGGGATCTCCGAGCCCGTAGGCTCGGCCAAAAATATTCCCTATTCGAACGCGTATAAACGGGTTCCTGGGGCAGTCAACATCCCCGAATAAGTAGCCTCGCCCGGGTTATCAAAGGCTGGTAGTGAATATTCAGGAAAAAACATGGCAGTCTTTATACACGTCACATTGAATATTTTGAGACTTCTGATTGGTTAACCCTTCTATTGGTGAACTATAAAATAATCAGATAATTTTGGCTGGCTCATTAGTACACCAGGGTACCTAAAAATTCCAACAAGTTTCTGCTAGCCCCCTGCTATTCTCTTCCTTTACATGAACCATAGCGGGACGAAAATGGAGTACAGTCTCTATAGAATCCCAAAACGTCTCTGTCGTCCTCGTGGCTAACGAATCAGTTTCCACCCTACAAGCCCTTTCTCACAGACCATATTTCTCAGTCTCTCGTTTCTCTATTTATATTTCCATCTGTACAGACGAACTATATTCTTGTGTTCCACCATATTTATCTTCTCAGTTAAGTTCTATGCATATTGTAACAAATCACTCACATTCATTTCGTATATCATTAGTGAGATGTAGATATCACTTAAGCATCTTCTTCCCACAAACCACTGGTCTGTGGAACCGATTCCCAAGAGAATGTTTCCCCGATTACAGCATTTGTTCAACTGTTATCGTCCCCACAAATAAACATAAACTGTGCCTTTTAATCTGTAACCCTCTACTTCGAGTGGCTCCAGGGCCATGCACATGGTGATCTATAATTGTAAAAATAATACTGCGACTGTTTTTGAGATGAGGAATTATTATACACTGATGTACTCGAAGTAGTATCACAATTTTGCTTATTATAGACGGAGTGGTTCAAATACGAGGCTGAGACAAAAATTAGCCGCACTTTCGTCATATAAAAATCACATATGATTTTTGCAACATGTCTTTAAGTCTGTCATGTTACCTTCTGCTCGTGCGTGCTTATAGTTCTTAATATTGTGGTCATTGTGCTTGATCGTACCTGTTTTCTTGCTGTTGTTACAGTATGAACATGACCGCACCGCTAGCAGTGTGCACTGACGAGGAGCAAAGAGCAGTGATTCTTTATCTGGTCCGGGGGTGTCTCGGGCGGGGTGAATTTCATCTGAAGTTTTTTACGCAATACGTCGATAGTGCACTACTTCATAGAAGAGTGTATGATTGAATTGAAAAGTTTAAAAGAGGCTGGACATGCGTGACGCAAGAAGAAAAAGCAGGACGCCCGTCAACCTCCCCCACTGACGAGATGATTCAGCAATCTCGAGAGATGGTAATGGTGCAATATCAATTGATCATCGTTCGGTTGATCATGTTCTCTGTAGATTCAGATCCCAGCTCTTTGTTCCTCTTTGGTGCACACTGTTAACGGAACGGCCATGATTACACTGTAACAGCAGCAAGATAATTCGTGCGATCAAGCTCAAACTTCGATCACGTGATCACAATAGTTCCAACTATAAGCACGCATGAACAGAAGGCAGTGTCACTAACCTAAAGATATGTTCCAGCGAAAGGGTAGATAATTTTCTTTGCTTACCATCGTATTTCTGAGAGAAAACAGGCTTATTCCCACCAGTGAGCTCCTTTCCGCTGCCATTGCCCCAGTGTCTGAATATTCGAGATAAAGAACTATCATTCTTATGCACTGATTAGCTTGTAGCTTTGTCTCCATCTTTGTTGTCATTGTCACGAGGTTTCGGCAATTACAGATTGTGTTAACGTTTCAGCTGATGTCTTTGGTTAATAATTTACAGTAATGTTCGTTTTCGTTAGCTTCGGAGATATTTCCTTCCGTTTCATAGATGTGACGTCACTTTAGGAGTCAGCTGATATGTCTGGGAAAAAAATCCCGCGAAAGTACTCTAAACACAAGATCTTCGCAGAAAGAAAGTTTGCCAAAGTTTGAGATCGATTTCAAGACAGCAAAGTAGGATTTTGAACCAGAAGTAAAACATAAGAAAAAAAAAATAAAGCAGAAATCCAGGATTGTTGTTTCAACGAAAATCACCGGAAGGTGATACTGCTTTAAGCGCTGAAGGACAAAAATAACTAAATAAATAATAATAATAATACTAATAAAATCTAACAGATAAACACGTGATAGAAGTTCGGAATCTTTTTCGAGGAGGCGTGCACTAGAGTGGTAGAAAGTGAAAGTGAAACTTGACAAGAAAAGTAGGATGTGTCCACGTGCTTTTTCCCAGTTATAGTAATTATGCCGTCGCTTTTTGTCTGAATCAAATAATAGTCGGGCGTTGACCATTTACTCTATAATTTGTTCTTAATGTGAAAAACAGAGCCAAAAAGCAAAAGAGTAAAAACCACACAAGCTCACACACACATGAACACACATATATGGCGGGAAGTGGAGAAGTAAAACTAATACGAAAAATAAAACAAAAATTAAAGCAAAAGATAAAACAAAAAAAAAAAAAAACTACAATTTCTCTTTGACTTCCTGAAGTGAAGAATTATCATTGAAAACTGGTTTATTCAAACTGTTATCCTCATCTTGGTTGGTATAAACAAAATATCTCTGCTATTTCTAATATGAAAAATTTCAATTAACTTATACTGATTTTCTGTGACTATCGTCTTCATTAATTTTGTTATAGTCACATTTCGATTCATTCTGAAATGAGGAACTATTATTATTATACACCATGTTATTTGAAATGCTCTCTTCATCTTGATTGTTAGAGTGACAATATCTACATATTTATGATCAGAAATGTTCATTCTTATATGGTGATTGAATTTGAAATATCCCCATCTTGGTTGTTAGTGTCACACCGTCTAAATATATGTGATGAGGAATGATCTTTTCTATATAATGATTGATTTGAATAGTGCAATCATCTTGGTTGTAGAGTCACAACGCCTAAAGTTACGAGATGAGGAATGATCATTCATATATAATGATTGATTTGAAATAGTGTCCTCATCTTGCTTGTTATAGTCACACCGTCTAAAGATTTTAGATGAGGAATGATCATACCTATATAATGATTGATTTGAATGGTGTAATCATCTTGGTTGTTAGAGTCACACCGTCTAAAGATATGAGATGAGGAATGATCATTCTTATATAATGATTGATTTGAATAGCGTAATCATCTTGGTTGTTAAAGTCACATCGTCTAAAGATATGAGATGAGGAATGATCATTCTTATATAATGATTGATTTGAAATAGTGTCCTCATTTTGCTTGTTATAGTCACACCGTCTAAAGATGAGATGAGGCATGATCACCCCAAAGAATGATTGATATGAAATCGTCTTCATATACTGGCTGTTTGATTATAACCACGAAGATGATGGCACAATATATAGTTATTTAAGATATGGAATTTTCCTTATAGAATGATTTACTTAAAACAGTATCTTCATTATGATCATTACATGACAAGAGGAATTATTTTTATACCCTGTTATATTTTTAGCATTCTGCTCCCTTTCCTTTATAAGCCACATAGCCAATTTTGAGAGAACTGGAAATCCTAGCAGGATTCATAATTGGCGGCCACAATTTTAACATCAGATACGCAGATGACACACCGCTGATAGCAGGAACGAAAAGGAAGTAATTAAAATTTTTGCAGAATGTAGCAAAGGAGAGCGAGAAGAAAGGACTAAGTATAAACT